CTCCACAAAGCGGGAAGGAGAAGACGGAGAAAGAGGGATGTGGGGAAGGAGTAATTCAGGAAAAATTACCAGTTAACTACACAAAAATCTCAGACTTGTAGTGCAAGAAACAGTAATGCAGGTGGGAATTCTAGTTTGTTAGAAACAGTAGTAAGAAGGCTTTAAAAAAAGGCAGGTTACCACTTGCCTTTAGATCCTAGCCCTAGGGAGAAAGGCAGAGGCAGGTGGATCTCTGTTTTTGAGGCCAGCCTGGTCTATATAGTGAGTTCTAGGACAGCTAGAGCTACATAAAGAAACCCTGTCAAAAACAAACAAACAAAACAAAAAACAAGTAAATGACTGCCTTGGAGTTATAGATGAACATAAAAAGATTTTACATGTCTGCTCCAATTTTTCCTAATATATGAAGCCATATGTTTAAAGAGATACTTGAATAATTTGAAATTTTAAGATACTGATTGTAAAGTAGTTACAGAAAACATCTTTGTGCAAAGAATAACCTGAAAGTGAATTTCATTTATTCTTTTTTAAATTTATTTTTGTAATACTGTATTATCTAATTCTCAGAGGAGCAAAGATATAGCAAATGAATTTTAGAGCAATAAACCCCAATAGAGCTCTTGGTTCATGATCAAGATTATAACTCATATTTTACTTTGAGGAGATCTTTGAGTAAGAAAATACAGTGTTTGAACCTCAGGAAAAATTATAATGTGGAAAATACTGTGTTGCTGATGTTTGCAGTCCTCTGTTGGGAACTTCATGATTAAGTAGATGCATTCAGATAACCATAATCATTTTTAAAACTTAAGTAGCCAGTGTAGAAGGTACTTCTTTGCTCTCTAAGAAATACCTCAACCATTTGCCACCCCACTCAAAACAGATTTCTCATTAAAGAAGGTAGGAAGCTAAAAGGAAAGTTTGTCTTTCCAATGAGCAGTTTCTCTTCACCCTCTCCACTAGCACATAGTCCCATCTCGTTCCCTCTGCTGCTCCTGACCCTACCTCATGAAGGTGTTCTACAAAAACCGCTTATAGCGTTTCCAATCATGAAGTGCATAGTATCATGCATGATGGCATATATATAATTTTTTATTAGATGCTTAATGTTCAATTAAGTAATTTTAACGTGAAGAGTAAAAGAATATGCTTTAATGATATACCATAAAATTTTTCATATTTTTTAATGAGGCAGTTTTGTAGTCTCAAGATTAAATACAACTGCTCCTATTTTGTTTTTAAATGAGGCCTTTCTGGAATGTTTTGTGTGAATAGTAGAATCCTTTAGGAATTCAAAAACGTTCGAAGTATGTTTTGTAATGAAATGCAGTGGATCAATTTTCAAAGACTGGTCATAACCTACTGTGTTAAAGTAATAACATAGGCTCTTTTTCATCTAGTTTGTTGATGATGTAAATAAAGTGTGTAAATAATATTAGTAAATGTTAATATTCACGTATCTTAAGTTAACATTATAAACTTTGTCACAATGTGATTTTTTTTATTGAAGTCAAAACAGATGTATGCAACTATTTTGAATATTGATTTATAAATATTCATTCTTTATCAACAAACTAGTTTTTGTGTTTTATTCCACAAATATAAAAGTGGATCAGGGGAGACTTAGGCGCTAGGACTGCCTGTGTCCAGGGCTTTAATGTATCTCTTTCTGTAAGGCCACCCATGCCATAGGACAGAAACGTACGTGCTGGGAGTCAGTAAAGTCTCAGGAGTTCACTTGAGGAAAGTGAGTCCTTAACAGCTGGGAAGGTCAGGTTAAGTGGTGCACACCTTTAATCTCAGCACCTGGGAGGCAGGAATACATAGTCTCCAGAGAGAGAACGGGGTGGGAGGGAGGAGAAGCAGAAGGAGAGAGAAAGGAAGAACTAAGGACAGAAAGAGAGAAAAAAAGAAAAGAAAGCCCGTTTAGCTGCACACGGTACCAAGTGCTTTTAATTCCAGCACTTGGGAGGCAGAGGCACGGAGGACCTCTGTGAGTTCAAGGTAAGCCTGGTCTACATTGGGATCTCTAGGCCAGCTAGGGTTACATAGAAAGGATCCTGTTTCAGAAAAAGAAGAAAAGATTAGGAGGATTGGGGATGTAGATCACTGCTCAGACATTTGCTGCGCATGTGTAAGCCCTGTGTTTGATGTTCCGCAGCACCAACAAAGAACCAAGGAGAGGAAGGTAGCAATCTGGAGGTATCTAAAGGGTTTCATGAATGCTTCTTAGCTCATTATTCTAAGAGTGAATCACTCCATCTTTGACACACGTACTATCATACTACTTCATGTCTAGCACAAGTTGGAATCTGCTTTTTTTGTTTTAGTTTATTTTTTTTGAGGTTTCTTTTTATGTGTATGTACAGTGCCAGTAGAGGCCAGAAGAGGTCTGTGGAACCCTAAGACCTGGAGTTAGAGATGGTTGTGAGCCACCATATGGGTGCTAAGAATCAAACCTGGGTCCTTTTTACGGGCAGCGCATGCTCTTAACCACTGATCTACCTCTTCAGCTCCGGAAGTCTGCTTTTTAAAACAATTTCACAGCGCATTTTTTTTCTTGGAAGCAATTTCATTTTTTCTTATCATTTTATTGATATGATTTATTCATCTATTGAACTGATAAATCAACTCTCTACTAGACTAAGGACTATATAATTTTTTAGTGTTACAAAGAGACACTTGTCAATAGGAATTATCACTTTCAGTTACTAGGTCAAAGGTACATTTTATATTTTACGATCACAAATTCTATCATTTTAGGAAGATGAAAAACCAAAAAGACTAACGACCAGTCTTCTCTTGCTCCTCGAGAACAACCTCACGGCTTTGCCTTTTGAGGGACACTAGTAGCTGAATCAAGTTTAGGCTACAAATAACAATATGTAATGATATATATATATAATAAAAAATATAATAATAAAACATCTAATGGCCAAAAAATTAACTTCTCAAGGGCATGATTTCAAGAAACTGTACCTCTTGGGAAGGAATAAAATGGTATGTTAGGTCCGTAAGCCTTAGTGTTAGGTCGATGTGATCTGAAGAGATTACCCACCGCAGATTCTAATAACCGAGAAAGCCTTGAATATCACGGAATACTGTACCAGATGCCATGTGACCTTACTTATTTTGGTAGAGTTGTGGCAATTCTCGCAGTTTGCTTCCCCTTCCGCCCGCCCCCGTCTTTAGATGCTGTAACCTTGGGGGATTTACTAATTGTAAAGTGCTAAGACAACTATGAAAAAAATGTTTCCTTTTCGTTGGTCGCCGACCCTTGCAACTTAGTCTTCCAGTCATCAGAGAACTGACGGTCTAGGTCAAATCAAAAGTGGTACAAGTTTTCTTTCAAGCAAACCTGCATGATCTGTTCCAGTATTTCTCGTGGAGATGATCGCCTTCCGGTGCCGCCAAGTACTTTAGGGCTCTTCTTATTTCGCAGGCTCTCATTGGGCGTTACAGAGTCGACTTCGTATGATGATTGGCTGTTTACTTGCTGGTCTCGACAGGCGATTGGGCCCCGGGAGCCGAGGGGCGGGAGGCGCGAATTCGTACCTGTGGAGCGGCTGAGCTGCTGAGGGAGGAGTGGCCGTGCCGGGCACCTGGCAGCACCCTAGCAGCCGCCTGGGGAGACTTCCTGCTCGCGGACTTTCCTCGAACGCCAACATTTCCTTTCGTCCCGGAACTGGAGCCAGCCGCAGGCGAGTGGGCATGTCGGCGGGGGGCAGGCGCCTGCAGTTCGGCGCTAGCGGGCTCTCGGGACCTTCGGGGTGACCAAATCCCTCGGCCCGGGGCATCCTTGGCTGTAAGAGAGCTGGGAGCCTGGGGAAGTGGGGACGGGAAGCTGAGGAGCAGGGACCCAGTCCTTACCTTCTGTGAACGCAGGCGGGCGTGGAAGTAGCCCCAGCCCGGCCCCCGCAGTTCTTCTTGGCGGGAGACAGATTTTTTTTTTTTATTTTAAAGAGATAGGATCTTAGAATCTCACCCTGCAGCTCCGGCTCGCCTGGAACTCGCTACGTAGACCAGGCTGGCCTCGATCTCGCAGAGATCTTCCTGACTCAGCCTCGTGATTGTTGGGAGTCAAAAATCTGCCCCACCACATCCGGAAGTTTGTTTCATGGGAGGCTCTCATGGTTTGAATGTTGCCACAGCTGCAGGCATGGATTAGCATCCAGGTTCATTTTAGTAAAACAGAGTCCCACGAAGCCTCAGAGGTTTACAGATAGAATCAGTGGTTGGATACTTTTCATAGGAATCTTTTTTTTAATTCTTGGACAGTTTCCTACCTGTAGACAGTGTGTCTTGGCCATATCCATCCCCAGTACGCCCTTCACACTCACCTGGACCTCTCTCTTCACACGCCCTCTCCCACCTTCCTGTTGCCCCACCCACCCGCCGAGTCCAATTAGTACTGCCCGCTGGAATGTTGGCTGATGGTTGCTTGATTTTTTGCAAGTCTTGTCTGACAGAACACTATTAGAACTGGAAAGTATCTTAGAGTAATGATTCTTTTGGAGCACCGAGGCAATGGTTACAGTTATTATTGACTTCCTAATCTGTTGAACCATCTGTCTTATCCATCTCCATTCCCGGGCTGAATTTACCATATTTTTTTTTTCACAATTGCGAAAATTCTTCCGTCGTTAAAAGTGTCTGAGAGGTTAGGTGATGCGAACAGTGGCGTTCATATCCATTTTCTTTCCGTTATAGTTATCTGACTTCAGAATTGCTGTGCTGGCCCAGGCAGGGAGCTGGCTCAGCAGATGAAAACACAATCAAGGCCAAAGACCTCTGTTTAATTCCTGAGAGGCACAGGGTGGAAGGAGGGAACCTCCTCTGGCTCCCGCCCACTGTCCCCCAACTTCCCACATGTCATGTGGCTCCTGATTACAAAATTGAAAGAATTACTGTGGAAAGATATTTTCCCACAACGATTTAAGAATTAGATATTACTGCAGAGAAGAATTTTAGACCGTAGAAGTAAAATGATAGGACCAGCTCAGCTCCCGGGTCGCACGCACGACTCTCCTGAACGCTCTCCAGGGTGTGTGCAGGAACCTCTGCGCTCTTCCTCTACGGCACGCCGACTGCCAGAAACAAGCCATGTCTATTCTCAAGGTCCACGCCCGAGAGATCTTTGACTCCCGTGGGAATCCCACTGTTGAGGTTGATCTCTACACCGCAAAAGGTCTCTTCCGGGCTGCCGTGCCCAGCGGTGCCTCCACTGGCATCTATGAGGCCCTGGAACTCCGTGACAATGATAAGACCCGCTACTTGGGGAAGGGTGTCTCAAAGGCTGTTGAGCACATCAATAAAACTATCGCACCTGCTCTGGTTAGCAAGAAACTGAATGTGGTGGAGCAGGAGAAGATCGACAAGCTGATGATCGAGATGGACGGCACCGAGAATAAATCCAAATTCGGTGCCAATGCCATCCTGGGAGTGTCCCTGGCTGTCTGCAAAGCTGGTGCTGCAGAAAAGGGGGTGCCCCTCTACCGCCACATTGCTGACTTGGCTGGCAACGCTGAAGTCATCCTGCCAGTCCCAGCTTTCAATGTGATCAACGGCGGGTCTCACGCTGGCAACAAGCTCGCCATGCAGGAGTTCATGATCCTCCCTGTGGGGGCGTCCAGTTTATCCGAGCGCCTGGCCAAGTACAACCAGATTCTTAGAATCGAGGAAGAGCTGGGCAGCAAGGCCAAGTTTGCCGGCAGGTGCTTCAGGAACCCCCTGGCCAAGTAAAGTGGATGCAGATCCCTGGAGCCACCAGCTGCTTACACCCCATCCCTGACGTCGCCAAGGCGGCTCAAGGCCGGCCCAGTGCTTGCCCCTCCCATGCCACTGCTTCCTTAGATGTCTTCAGTCCGCCCGACCACCTGGAGCCCTGCTGGGAACCCCAGCTTTGTAATCATGTGACTGGTCCGAATCATTGTCACCTCACTTCCAAGCTAGTGTCTGGAGCCCAGTGCAATCTCTAGGGTGGCCACAGGAAAGACCCCTGCCCCAGCGGTTCTACATGTAGAATAAAAGCCTCAGTGACCCATAAGCCCTGCCTGTGAGTGGATGGAGCAAATCAGGGTCCCCTAAGAAAAAAAAAAAAAAAAAAAAAAAAAAGAAGTAAAATGATAGGTCAGAGCTACCACCCCTGCCTCTTGCCTGCTTGTCTGTACCTCCTCTCTTCTGTGTTAGGAAGTGTAGAAGCCCGAGATAGGAGTGGGCTGTGGAATAGCAGAGCTGCTTCACAAATCTGTTTCTTAAGTTGATTCTGTGGGATCTAAGTTGTTCATCTGCCACGTACTGTATGTTTTTACATTATTTTACATTTTTTATTTAGCCTGTACAGCAGTCCTACAGGGGTGATTCTATTACTGTTCTTATTTTGTACCTGAGGAGGTGGGGTTCTAGAAAAGTTAAGTGATTTACCTAAAGTCACATAACTAATACATCATGGAGTTGGAGTGACAATCCAGCCAGGTTGGTCGGACTCCAGTGCATGATCTTGACCCTGTGATTTATTTATAAGACTAAGAAGTTTTTTGCAGCCGGGCAGTGGTGGTGCACGCCTTTAATCCCAGCACTCAGGAAGTAAAGGCAGGTGGATCTCAGAGTTCTAGATCGGCCTGGTCTACAGTAAGTTCCAGGCCAGCCAAGACTGTTGCACAAAGAAACCCTGTTTTTAAAAATATTTTTTTTGCTTTTATTATTTTTGTATACATGCTTATTAATCCCAGTTTTTAATCAGACTTCTGTTCTATTGCTAATTGCCTGGCTTTTGTTGAATGACATTATTTTAATACTTAAACTATAAATGCGTGTGTGTGCGTGTGTGTAAATACAAGTGTGCCAAGTAAATACAGCTTCTTACAGAAACCAGTTAAGGGTATGAGATACCTCGGTACTGGAGTTACAGGCGTTTGTAAACTCCCTGGTGTGGGTGCTGGGAATCCACCTTGTTTCCTCCTGAAGAGCAGTAAGTGCTCTTAACTTGTTGGGCTGTCTCTTCAGCCCCTCAGTATTGATCGTATTGTTTCTGTTTCAGTGAAGTATCACGGGGAGAAAGCAGAATGTCCTCAGTGTCATCTGAATACACCATTGGTGGGGTGAAGATTCTCTTTCCTTGCAAAGCTTATCCCGCACAGCTTGCTATGATGAATTCTGTAAGTATTCTACAGTAGTTAAGTCTTTAGTAAGATGCTGTAACTTAGGATTCCAGCTACCCATTGAAGTTGCTCTTCCCGGGTGCAAAATGGTGGTTAATGTCTGTTGGATTCGTTTGGAGGAGCACTTCCTTTTAGGAACATCCTACCAAAAACTCCTAAGCTCTTTATGTTTGGTTAGGATATAAGGATATTCTCAGCTCCTTTGCAGCTTTGATTTCATTCTGTATGTGTGCAGCAGAGAGAAGAGAGAATGTATATGTTGAATGTTCTCAGTCATTCTCTACCTTTTTCTTTTGAGGCATAGTCTCATGATAAACCTGGAACTTGTGTTTTTGGTGTTGCTTTTGTCTAGGCTGGCAGCCTGCAAGCCCTATATATCCTCTTATCTCTGCCCACTTTAGTCCTGGGCTTACAGGTGTGTGTACCTCAGGATAGCTTGTTATATGGCTTGTGAACTGACATTCTTTGATCTCAGTCTATTTTGGTGAATGGTTCTAAGACCCACCTTGGATAACAGAATCTGTAGATGTGCAATTCCTTTATGTAAAATGGTGCACTATTTGCATATATTTTATAAGTAAATTCCAATATACTCTTAAATAATTTCTAGATTGCTTTCTATGCTTGATATAAATGCTATGTAAATAATTGTAATCTTTTTAACTATGCATTAGATGTTTAGGGAATAATAAAGTTTGCATGTTTAGTGTGGATGTAATTTTCATTTTCTGAATAACATAGATTGTTTTACATATGTTTAGACTTTGTGAATGACATATTGTACATCTTCTTGTTTTGTTTTGTTAGAACTTTTTTCAGCGATTGTTGTAGTGATATTTTGTTTGTGTTTTAACAAATAAAACTTGCCTGAAGAGCAGAGTGCAGAGCTAAGCCACTAGAGGCCAGGGAGTGGTGTTAACACACAATCCCAGGACTCAGGAGACAGAGGCAGAGGGATCTCTGTTAGTTCAAGGCCACGCTGAGCTACATAAGATTGAATCTGTCTAAAAGAGAAACAGAGCTCACACAAAGGTGATGCCAGCACTTGGGATCCCACGCCTTTAATCCCAGCACTAGGGAGGTGGAGTCAAGAGCAATAGGGCTGGATGGAGAGAGGAGTTTAAGGTGGAAGGAGACAGGAGCTCAGTGCAGTTTGAGGTTTGGTGGAGACAGGTGTATCGGGAGATGAAGTCTGAGGACAGGATTGCCCCTTCGGTCAGCATTGGTAGAGGTAAAAGGTCTCTCTAGTAGTTGCTGCTCTGCTTCTCTGATCTCCAGCATTAACCCTATATCTGACTCTGGGCTTTTATTATTAATACTGATTAGAATTTGTACTATCGATTGCGATAGTTAGCTTTAATCATCAATTTGACAACCTAGAATTACCCAGGGAAAGAATCTCAATCAAGAATTGTCTACATTGGGTTTATGGGCATTTCTGTGAGATACTGTCTTTTGTGTGTGTGTGTGTGTGTGTGTGTGTGTGTGTGTAAGTTGTTTGCCTGAATGTATATACGTGTTTGAGGTGGCCAGAAAAAGGTATTGGTTACCCTGGAAGTGGAAATACATATGGTTATGAGCTTCCATGCTGTGTGCTGGGAATTGAACCCAAGTGTTCTGTAAGAACAGCGAGAGTTCTTGCTTGATGAGCCATCTCTCCAGGCCCTGTGGGGGATTGTCTTAACTGATGTGAGAAGACCCATCCCACTGTGTGCAGCACCATTCCTTAGGCAGAGGGTTCTTAACTGTGAAGGGTGGAAATATAGACCTCAGCACAAAGAAATGAATATGCGTGTTCATTCTCTGCTCTTGACTATGGATACAGCTTGTTACTTTAAGCCCCTGCTACTCTGATGTCTTTGCTCTGATGGATTATAACCTGGAATTGTCCATAGACTATAAATTCCCTTTCCCTTATGCTGGTTTCTGTGAAAGTATTCTATCACAGCACAGAAATGAAACTTGAACAGTGGTAGGGGTGACAGAGGTTCATGATGCTGCCCTCTGCTGAGCTGGATCCCTAACAAGTGTTTGTCTGGTTTTGTTTTTATTGTAAAATTATATTTAATGTATGTCCTCATTGGTTGTTAAATCATTTTAATTTCAGCCTGGCATTTTATTGTATGGCTATCATAACCTGTCTATTTTCCTGCTGGTTGTATTTAGGTTGCTCATAGTCTCTTGGAATTAGCAAAAATGCTACTTTGAACTTTCTTACATATTTCCTATGTTTGTGTAGGAAGGGTTTGGAGTATGTGCTTAGTGATGGACTTAGTGGACTTGGCCATCTTCCTTTTATATTTTTATTTTTTCTCTAACTTAATTCTTTTTTCTTTTCCTCCTCATCTTCCCATCTTCCTCCTCTTTTTTTTTTTTTTTTTTTTTTTTGAGACAGGGTTTCTCTGTGTCGCTTTGGGGCCTGTCCTGGTACTCTGTAGACCAGGCTGGCCTTGAACTCACAGAGATCCACATGCCCCTGCCTCCTAAGTGGTGGAATTAAAAGGCATGCGCCACCACCAGGCACTGGAGTCAGAGGTGGTTGTAAGCTGCCACGTGGGTATGGGACTTGAACCTGAATCTTCTGCAAGAGCAACAACTGCCCTTAAATGCTGAGCCACCTCTCCAGCACAAACAGCTTTATAGAAACAATTTGTGCTTGTATAATTAAATATAAGCTGCTGTAATCGGTGTAATAACCAGGCTAGCTTAATATGAAACAGCAAATTTTAATGAAGGGATAGCTTACAACACCAGGGATCCAGCGATGAGCAGGAAATACAAAAAAGAGAGTGGTGGGGCTCACGCTCGCCAGATTTATATGTAAACATTAGCCCGAGGCAAACACGCCCTCTAAGGGGCTGGGCAATCGCTACATCTCTCCTTTTTGTCTAAATAAGACAGAACTAAACCAAATACAACTATATACAATAATAACAAATAATAAATATAACAAACAATATTGAGAACAAAAGTTTTGTTAAACATTCTATCTCAAGGAGTCTAAATAATGTAGAGAGTAACTACAATTATATAATCTTCAACTCCATCAAAGATCTGAGAAGGGAGTTAATATTACTTAATAAACGAGAGATATCCAAAATGTGCAACAAATGACAGAGACAACTGACTACCTGGGCAATCACCCAAAGTCTCGTTTGCAATGTTGAGTCAACCAACTTTGGCTAAGGCCTAACATAACTGACATACCATTATTAAAGGCAAGGAACTTTCTTAGAACTATCCTACCCTGTCTTGGCAAGATAAGACAATCCTGTTTCATCCACTTATGGATATTTTGTATCTTAGTCAGTAGTTGAGGTATGTGCTTTTCTTAACCCAAAGGCCAGTTTTGCCAAGAAGACAAGCTCCCAGTGGAGTGTCTTTGGTGCTCAACGTTCTCTCAGGAGTAGAGTGGTGTCGCCAGGAGTGATTGTGTCTCGTTGGCACAGAATTCTAGGTTAGATTAAAGGCCATTTTCTACAGTTCTTAGAAGAGGCTGAAGATTATACTATCTATACTAAATATAATCTCTATGTATCTAAAAGACCTGATTAATTCTCAATACCTACCTAACTTGAAGACTAAGAGAATAAACAACTGTGCAATATATGAAGACAATGATCTTCAACTGTAAACAATGTCATTACATAACAAATGTAAACAATGTTATTATATAAATAGTATCAGAGGTAGAAATGTACATTGTAATATGGTAGATGTATCAATACAATATAGACAAAGTTATAAGCATACTCTTATACAAAAATAGAGGTAGGAACACTCACATTCAATATTCAATATATCAATATACAAGAAACAGTA